TTTCTATTTTAAAGTGTTGTTTTTAAAATCTGCACAGCTTACTCACTGGTATCTGTCTTTATCTTTTCTTGCTTCCTTTGCCACCTGGCTTCTGTGTCATTGGATTGGAGGATCTATAATATCTGACATTTCTTGAAGGCCTGGTCATTCCACAGTAGTCTGGCAGCAAAATTATGAGCTCTTTCTCTCTCTTTTGTTGTTGTCTTTATGTTTGTTTGTTTCCTGAAATGAAGGTGCTTCTATTAGGTTCTTGATTTTATAGAAGTAAACATAAGTAAGAAATAATGTGAGAATAAATAGGATGAGAATCTGTTGATAAAAAATACAAGATTCTCTTGCCTGCCTAGGTGTTTTAAAGCTACATGATCAGATCAGTTAATTATCATTTTATCATTTACATAAGGTTTTTGCTTGCATGTCTGAGTCCTAAGCAAAAGCAGAAGTGTCAGCAGACTACAAAAGAGACTGCTCGTGCACATTTGTTGATCTGGCCAAAAAACAGGAACAAGACCTTTTGGTCATCTTTCTTATTCATAAGAGTCCAAGTCTAAATTGCTGAGCAGTCCTAATAGATTTCTTTGCTTGTACTGTTGTGTGCAGCCATTTCTCATTTCTAGTAAGAAAAACAATATTGCCAATGTGATAAACTTTATGCCTCAAATGTAGTTCATATTCATGTACAAAACTTACTGAGTCTTGGCAGAGGTGTCTGCAGCTATTGTCTAATTCTGTATAAACCTTATTCCAACTTGTTGCTTCAGTTTCTATTCAACAATGAGATGTTTTCCAAGTTTCTTTAATGCCTGACTTCATTTACTGGGTGAGTGCATTCACATCTGAAAAAAACTTCTACTGTTTCCTGTCCAGTGAAGAAGACCCAAGACAAGAGTCATGTTTTTCAGAAAAAACAATGTCTATATCTCAAGAATCCACAGTTCCTGGTCAGGAAAATTCTGAGCAATTCCTTTCAGCAGGTATTATAGGTGGGGGCATGAGAACTAAATAATGCGCTGTCTCACAAGACGTAAGCCTATAGTGCAGAGTTGGGATGTGTGTAGCAAAATAGCCACCAGTGGGGTCCAACTGCTGCAGTTCCTTGGGAGCAGGAGGCCTGTAGACTATTCTCTTGTCTTCTTAAAAATACCTTACTCCAAGTCCTGTTTGAAACATGTTTATCTTTTCCCCTTTTTTTGGTTGCTTGTGCTAAAGATGGACAACTAGCTTTTCTTGCCAGGTAGGACCATAATGCTAATAGTCAGGGGCATTGCCACTCAGAAAGGGAGGAAAAAGAAGCAGCAACTCCCAGAGTGCCGCTGAGGAATATTTTATTTATGCTGCTGTGAGTGTGTGTCATTGTTCCTCGGTCAGATATCTAAGCACTAGTTCATACTGGAACTTTTCTAGCCATTAAAGTAGACTCACAGGTGTAAGCCAGCCCATACTTCACCCAGAAGGTTCTCGGTATTTTATTTCTTTTGTGCATGAGGAAGCAAAGTGCAAGTCTCAGTTCTCAGGTGGTCTTGAAATTATGCAGCTTGTGCTAGAAAATCTACCCTTCTTGTTTTTCTTCACCTCTTTGTTAAACCTGCTGAGCCCTGTTGATATTGATAAGGATTAGGTTTTTTTGTACTTTCTTGGTTGAATTGAGTCTCCTGTTTGTCAGCTCAGAAATTCCACAAATTCAGACGCTTAAAGGGATTCTCAGAAGGCATCTTTCCAGATGGTGTTTGCAGTACAGTGCATGTGGACATCTGACCCAAGTTTTCCCTCAATATGCTGTATGTTTACATGGGCTCTCTCTCCCTTTAATTTTCCCCGAATCAGTTTAGAGGGTTTCATTTACTGAGTCAATGGGTTTGCGTATGAACAGCTAATCACCAGATATGGTGGGTTCTAAAGCCAGAAAGCAGTGTGCCGTCGAGCCAATGTCTACCTGCAATGCTTAATTAATTTCTCAGTGGTGTTTCTAGCTTCTGAATATTTTGCTGCTGGTTTAACACAGAGGGATATGTTTGATATATGATGTTAGGGGTATGCTACCAACAGCCCAGATTCATAGTTTTCCAAATGTGCCACTGCACTACTTACAGGACGCATCATGTATGTAGTACCATCTGCCATCATTGATGCCGTATTCTGTAGAATGAATGCCAGCCCCATTCGGAAGTCTTTACTGTAGCATCCAGCTCATCATCTGCTGTGGTTCACTTCAGCAGGTGTGAAAAGACCTGGACTGCCCTGCTGTGAAGCTTAGAAACCATGGAAATCACAGCCAAAAATGCCCATTTGGACACAGTGCCAGTCGACTCACTCAGAGCCAGTTCATTAGAGTCTGCATATTGTACTTTGCCAATGAGCTGATCTCCCACATCTAATGCCAACGACGTCTTTCCTTCAAACAGCTGACATGTGTGCAAAGGCATCCATTCCAATTCATTAATTGCTTCGGCTTTTGCTCTCGTGTTACGGTAATAGCTATCAAAGGCTTGCTCTTTTCTCATTTCTGACCATGTAGATATTGCCTCTTACCATCTGGCAGATCTCCAGAAGAGGCAGAGGTCTGAAAGCTCCTGCATAGTAGGAGCTTCAGGGCTTTACCTCTCAAATTTTGAACTGTCAAAATGGCACAGTGAAGTTGCTCCAACTTACCTGTATTAGAAATTTCACATAGTGCATTACAGTAGACTTGGCATTAGGGTCCCAAAAGTGCTTCACATATGGACCATCAGTAAGAGGAGTTGCTTTCCCTGCTATAGGTTGAGTGCTTTAAATATCAACTGGCATTCCAAACTTCTTTAAAAAAAAAAAAAAAAGTTTAGTTCCGATCAGTTTTCTCAAGGGAAATTACTTAAGGGGGTTTGAAAGGTATTCTAATGATATTTAAGGGAGAGCAATTTTCATTGTAATTTCAGTAGTCTCACTTCAGGGGCACTTGAAAGTATAAAATCCCCAACAGGTTATTTAATCTTGCTTGTCACCTGACATTAAGACCATCTTTGCACTAAGAGTTAGGAGTAGCCGTGCAGATATCAAGTTTTGAACGCATCAGCCGCCAACCATAAACCTTTGTCATCAGCGTCTTCCACCAGTGCTTGTTCTGGTGAAGTAGTGGGTATAAACTCAGCCCTCCTCCAGCTGCTTCCCCGGCCATCACTTTGCGTTGTTATGTGAAGCAGTTCTTTGCAGTCGTGCTCAACTCTGCTTTTTCTCTCTGGTCTCTGCGAGGTGAAAATCCTCACAATTCATCCTATGGTTTCCACTGTCTGAGGTTTTGGAAACAGACATGGGACTCCACAAGTCCTTTGCCAAACTTGGGGTGAGAGTGAGCTGGTAGTCTGACTTGAGGAGTGCTGTGTCCCCGGAAGTGCTGTGGTCTGGTAGGCCCCAGTGACGGTTTGCTGAACTACTGAAGACCTACGCATCAGTCCTGAACATCTGTGGTCAAAATGAGGTAATGAGGTGGATTCATGGACTCATACCTGCATGTCAGTTTGTACACCTTATCAGTGCTTGTGTCACACACACTAATAGTTCAACAGACCCGGGAGTGATTCCAGGCAACTGCAGTGATTTTTGGACTAGAGAGAAGAACCACATAGAGATTGTTTTGGTCTCTGTCATAGTTTTGCAATGTAGTCAGTGTCACTGCTGTTTTTGTAACTTTGGAGACAGGCAGGTGAACTGCACTGTTAACCTAAATTCCGTACTGATAATTAATATAATGGATACCCAGAATTTTGTTTCACCCACACCAAAATTGTGACTGTAAGCTAGGAATAATAGCAACACATTTGTCCTTTTGACCCCTAAATCTGACTTGTCTGCCAGGTTATCCTTAAACCGTGAGATAGGAACAGCAAGCAAAATCTAGCAGTTGTGTTTTATGCTAAGAAATGTATATGAATATTCTATGCTATCAAAGCAAGAAAGTAAGTTATTAGGTATTCCTGTGTAAAATATAAATTTAATTCCTAGCCTGCTGACTTCGGTGTCGGCTTTGAAGTGTTGAAAACCAGAGGGCTATTTTTTAACATGTATGGATGCTAGATACTGTGCTGAACACTTTCTTGTGTCCAAAAAGCTATCGTTAATGTAGCTTTAATAAACTCGTTCCTTCAGCATCCTCAACTCTACTGGTTATTGAGATGAGACCCAGCTCCTGCATGTAATATATCTGTGTATTTTACTTATGCTCTTCATCAACGAAGAGCTAGCTCTTCTTCTTCTTCCCAAGAAAATTACAAGTCTGTATTCATATAATATGGATTCTGAGCCTAGGCTGATGTAGAAGGGATTGTTTTTCTTTTCATACAATGAGGGAAAGCCATAAAATGAGAAAACTACATGAAATAATTTTAAATATGGAGATAAATGCATAGAAATAGACTCAATACATTAGATGTAACAAAAATGTTAGAAAAATGGTCCCTAAGGTATTTTAATTTATAAAAAAATGTCATTATTACTGAACTTTAATTGGAAAGTCTGTGGAAACTTGGAAAGAGGTAAGGAAAAACTGATTTTTGAGAAGAGTATCTGGGGATGAGGGTGTGATTACTAGTGATGCCTGCTTATTGCAACTATTCTCCCTGTGGTTTTGTTGCTGCTGGAACATAAAAGTTTATTGCTGAAAAAGTTTTTAGTCTTAACTTGAATCTCTTAGGTGACATCTTAGGGGAGTGTGATCTTTGTACTACAGATAACAGAGGTATTAGCATATCCTTTTAAACTTATGGACACATGTGAAAGCTAAAACAAAGATATTTTGGACACAGCTCTACCAAAAGGAAAGGCCAGTAGTTCCAATATTAAATAGCATATAATAAGTATTACAGGCTTCCACGTCTGTGGAGTTTTCTAAAGGGATTACGTGAGCGTAAGGGAGGGAGAATTGACTTTTTGGTGATTAGAAAACAAAGAAATGAAAGAAGAGTTGGGAATTTTGTTAACTTTTGTATAACGTTTGTGATGTTTAATCTCATATGTTCTCTTTCTTCTAGCTACGAATGTCATGGCTCATCCATGGTGTCTTGCTGGGAAATGTATCCCTGGTGCTGGTGGAGAACAAGACAGGAAAGGAACAGAGCCGAATGTTCTGGCACTCAGATAGCAGCGAAGGTTTGGGAATATGGCAGTGGATGATCTTACCTCTCCCAGATATACTGGATAGGTATGAGTCTCCTCATCATTGTCCTTCATGGTGACCAGTCATTTCATCACTAGCTACCTGGCAATGGAAAATGTCTAGGATTGCTCCTAGTGGTTCCCTCAGGGAGAGGAAGCGCTTTGTCCCCAGGAGGTAACTTCTGTTACAGGCAAGGAGTGAGAATAACTGAGTAGTTAGAGCAAAGCACCCAATTTTAGAACTCCTGAGTGGTGGTCTTGGTGACTCTGGGTCACTGGGTAGTCTACAGCAAGGTGCTTAAACTTGTGTCTCCATTTCGTTGACTGGAAATAATCATTCTCCTCACATACTGTTTCATGTAGCACATTTGATCTTCTTGTGTGGTTTGCTAGAGTTGGGTGTGAGTTCCAGCTGACTTTTTTCCTGGGCATCAGGGTCCCTAGTGTTCAATGTGTCTAGCTCTGAGGATGAAAGAGATGGGAGAAGAACCTGCTGAAAATCAGACAAGGATGCATGGGAATACCTTTGTGTTAGCTGTAGCAGGAGGGCTGTAGCTTAATAAAGGGCTGTCTCAGTTATGACTGTATACTGGCTCTAAGCATGAAAGGTTTATCTGGTAGCATATGCTTAATCTGGTAGCATATGCTTATTTAAAGAGTGTTGTTTTAGCTGTTTCTTACAAGTCAGCTTTAAGGGAATACTCTTGTTCATTGTTTACTTTCTGTGTGTGCTCTGGCTTATGCTGTTTATAGAGAAGACACAGACATACTTCACCTCCTGCTGCCCTGGCCCTTAGGCTGTGCGATGCATCTGCAATGTGTGTCACGAGCACTGGTGTCCTTTGTCTTTTTGGAAATCTGTGCCCTAGAAATAATGGATTTCATTAAGGGATAGTTTGCCTCATAAGAAGTTTGAACAAACATTGTATGAATATGTCTTTTATCTTGCTGGCTCTTGGGGATGCATGTGGGCTGCAAATACAAGGACACTACCAACGCTTTGGTCCTGAATGTATAATTAATATGTGTGCGTCAAAGATTTAAAAAATATCAGCATTAAGCTTATTGTGCAGTCACTGCTGAAGCACCATTTGTAAAGATACCTGGTTGCTTCATTCCCTTCAGCTGTGTTTCCTTTGAAGAATGGTATATTTTGCCGTTATTATTTATGTGATTTATTTTCTAATGTTGCCAGGGGAATGTTTTGTACCTGAATTATTCTGTACTCTTATACTATTGCTTTCCTTTAAATTCTCTCTGGTTGCAGAGTCAGGCAGAGAACACTTTGATCTTAGGAGCCAGGCTAGCAGTGGTTCATGTGGAATCACAGATTCAACTGATAACACGGTGCTGACTATTATGTATAAGGTGCTGACACCCTTACTTCCCCATTACTTACAGAGAAAGACAGCTGGGTTCACTGAGGGAAGGGAGTTTGTTGGAGGTTAAGACATAAGCAAGGAAAACTTTGAGGTTTTGGTGTCATTTGAAAATTTTTTGTCCTTATTTATTCTCAGAAAGTGCACTATTTTAATTAATTTTTTTCTAAGATTGATTTAGTTGAAACCAGTCCTTCCTGGGAAGGAAGAAATCATAGAATCATAGAATTGTTTAGGTTGGAAAGGACCATGAAGATCATCGAGTTCCAACCCCTCTGCCATGGGCAGGGACACCTCCCACTAGACCAGGTTGCCCAAGGCCACGTCCAGCCTGGCCTTGAACACCTCCAGGGATGGGGCCTCAACAACCTCTCTGGGCAACCTGTTCCAGTGCCTTACAACCCTCAAAGTAAAAAATTTCTTCCTAATGTTTAATCTAAACATGCCCTCTTCCAGTTTATATCCGTTCCCCCTCATCCTGTCACTACATGCCCTTGTAAAAAGTCCTTCCCCAGCTCTCCTATAGGCCCCCTTTAGGTACTGGAAGGCTGCAATAAGATCTCCCCAGAGCCTTCTCTTCTCCAGGCTGAACAGCCCCAGCTCTCTCAGAATCTCCTCATAGGAGAGGTGCTCCAGCCCTGGGATCATCCTCGTGGCTCTCCTCTGGACACACTCCAGCAGGTCCATGTCCTTCTTATGTTGAGGACTCCAGAGCTGGACGCAGTACTCCAGGTGGGGTCTCACGAGAGCGGAGTAGAGGGGCAGGATCACCTCCCTTGACCTGCTGGCCACAGTTCTTTTGATGCGGCCTAGGATGCGGTTGGCCTTCTGGGCTGCGATCGCACATTGCTGGCTCATGCTGAGCTTCTCATCAATCAGCACCCCCAGGTCCTTCTCCTCAGGGCTGCCCTCCAGCCATTCTCTGCTGACCCTGTATTTGTGCTTGGGATTGCCCCGACCCAGATGTAGGACCTTGCACTTGGCCTTGTTGAACTGCATGAGGTTGGCTTGGGCCCACCTCTCCAGCCTGTCCTCTGGATAGCATCCCTCTCCTCCAGCATGTCTACCTCACCAAACAGCTTGGTATCATCAGCAAACTTGCTGAGGGTGCACTCGACCCCACTGTCCATGTGTGCGACAAAGATGTTGAACAGTACAGGTCCCAGTACTGACCCCTGTGGAACGCCACTCATCCCTGCTCTCCACTTGGACGTTGAGCCGTTGACCGCAACTCTTTGAGTGCGACCGTCCAACCAGTTCTTTATCCACCGTGTGGTCCATTTGTTGTATCCAAGTTTCTTCAATTTAGAGACCAGTATATCGTGTGGGACAGCATCAGAAGCTTTGCACATGTCCAGGTAGATGACATCAGTTGATTTTCCCTTGTCCTGTGAAACTTGTAAATACTGCAGGCATCTTTCTCACCATCTCAGAACCTGTTTCTTAGGAAATCTGGACCGATGTACAAAGTAGGAAGGAACTCTATGGAAGCGTGCACTGAAATGGTATTGGGGAGACTGCAGTATATGTACTTTGGAGATAAATGAGAGTTTTATTGACCTGTAAGAAGTATTTAATTGATGTGAATGTAATGCTGGTGCTGCTGAAAGCCTGCTGTGTCTGTCTTTTTCTAATTGATTCCTGTGTCAGTAGCTGTGAGGGTCTGCGTTAGAAGCAGCATGATATTGCAGATATTCCTACAGGAGGAGCTGAAACTTTAAATCGCCTCACAGAAATAAAGCTCTTGAATAAAGCACACCAGTGTACCAGTTCCACACAAAATTAAAGCACATTCCATTGTGTTTGAGAAGCTGAATGGAAAGCGTTATTAATAACGAGATAATATGCTCTAAAACTGCTCAAAAGCATGCTTGTTCAAAAGCTGCTTAGCCATAATTTCCATGTTTGGCTTATAGCACTTCAAAGAATCATTAGGAAGACTTCCAAGAAATTAGATCAGCTCTATCTTTAGAAACAGGCATTTCTTAAATGTTTGATATCCCTCAGGCTGTTGGGAGAAATTATATTTTGGCAGAAAATCACAGCTAGAGCATTTCAGGTGATTTGGCAGGAACAAAAAGTAGGGAGGAGTATGACAAAGAAGCTAAACTGGGACTGAGGGATGTTACATTTCTAGCACCGTGTTAGCCTGGGCAACCCTGGACACATGCTTAATTTCCAAGAGTACAATGAGAAGAGGATTGTCTTCTTTCCTCCCATTTGATCCTTAGGAAAACTTGCAGTTGAAATTTCAGCCTTTGAGATCACCTTTTCTGTGTGGACTTAAAAGAGGCTGAGGTCCTGGCTTTTTACATCTTCCCAAAGTTAGCTATCCTTTCTTATTTTGGAATCTCTTGGCAAAACAATCTCGGGACTCGGCTCACATGGTGTGTGGGTTAACAGAACTGTAACCCAATTACAAATGCTCAGTATCGTCTGTGCATGGGGGAGGAAGGGCAAGGGGCCTGGTGAAGGATATGCCACCAAAGCAGCTGTAATTAAAGAAGCCAATTGTGGGCAAGAACTCCTTGAACTGTTGGATGAACAGATTGTGCCTACCAGAGGCAAAAGGGGCAAAGTCTTCAGAGGTGCTGTATTTTAACTTGCCACTTAAATACACTCAACACAAACTGACAATCCTTGCTGTGCTTCATTTGGCCCCCATGGAGACACCTACCCCTCCCTGAAGGACACATTGTCTGCAAATCAGATAATCTGCACAGATTAGTGAAAGCTAGAAAATTGGTTATTTTTACTTACTGGAATTTACACATTAATGCAGTGCTAAAATATTTGGGTTGAGAGTAGTGTAAAGAACTGCGTTATTGTAAACTGGTTTTATTTGATGGAAAATTTGTTTTGCAGTGATAAGTGATGAGCCTGTTGAGGATTGTTCTTTTTTAACTTCACAGAAATGCAAGTAGGAAACAGAGTCTTAAAAGCTCTGTTGTAGTTTGGAATTTGAGCTTTTTTTATACATTTGTTTGTAGTTAGTAAGTTAGTAAGTAAATGTGAGTTTAAATTTTAATAATGATACAGTCATGGGAATGTGACAGCAAGAGCAAACAGGAGCCTGATGTAATTGAAGATGAGTGATTTGTATAGCTAATAATTAGATATTCTGTTAGTTTAACAGTACGGTGAAGGTATATCACATAGATAAAATACAAGCACAAGTAACAAAGTGATTCTATGGAGCTTACTGTAAGCTGATGCTTATTATTACCAACCCGCCTAGCAACTGTTTTGCTACGCAGTGTAAAAGGTGGAAGAGGATTAGCTCTAATAGGCTGAAGCCTGGCTGGAATAATAATGTTTTAAGAAACAAATTCTAACTCTCCTGATTTCTGCTCCCTTGGTGAAGCTGAAGCCAGCTATGTGGAGCGGCATGTGGAGTAAATGTTCTGGGGGTCCATGTACCACCTGCTTGGAGTTGCCTGGAAGTGGACTTCACCTGAGCCAGCCAAGCCCAAACCAGCTCTGGTCTTTTAAGGCCTATATTCTCTACTAAACCTGTCCTTTTCTTTAAAGATTTCATTGTAACTTCTGTGAGAGGAACCTGGTAAAAATAGCGAGTATTAATAGCAACCTGTCCAACCTCAGTACAGTCTTCTGATAGAAGGAGATTGCATAGAAATATAAAAAGAATGTAAATGTATCTACTCTT